TACTTACCTCATCCAAGGTTGATGGAACGCAAGTTGTTAATAAGTTGGATACCATATAGGGCCCTATCATATTATATTAATCCATCAGTGAGCTATAGTTCCCACAGCAACACCTAAATCTATTTATGTGCATTTTTGTAATTTTTCCAATTTTTCAACAAATTACACCAAGACACAAACTGTCACAATGACTTAACTTTAATGAACAAAGGAAAATAATAAATTGTATATAATTAATTTTTCAATAAATTGCAAAAAAGTAAACAAAGCTTCATAACTTCATAATATATAATAAAAATACAAAGCAACAAAAGTATATATACAAATCATGTCAAGCATTATGTAGTAGCCTACCATGCCTACATTAAATTGATGGCATTAATCAGCTTGGAATTCTTAACTTAATTAGATGGGGTGTACTGGAAAAAAAATTGCAGACAAAAATTACTGCCTTTTTGAATAAATTTATAAAGAAAAAAAAAGAAAAAAAACATTCTGAAAATTTAAAGCTATAATGTCCAGGATGCTGTTATGTGAAGCTTCATTAAATGAGTGATAAATCAAATTCAATTTTTATATTGACGAGTGATCATTTTCAATCTATGACATATTTTGTTTTTATGTTTATAATGAGGATGGAGCAGCAACCTCCAGACCCAGTAGTTTACTTACAGTTTACATGTCTAGGCTAGCTAGGCCAGTCTTCATCAGAGGTTATGTTTCATAAATACAAATAAATATCAGATTCAGGTCTTAGTTTATGATTAACCTAATGAAGCTTTATACATACTGTATAAACATCATTCTATTCTTAGGGATCAATTAGTGTAACAACAAACCCTGTCAGAATATTTTTTGTGGACACATGAATATGTTTTCATGTTAATGATTAGATTTTCAATTTACAAAACAGATGTTTTGGATGACTTGCAACAACGACCAAATTTACTTTTAACACAGCAGTAGTAATAATTTTATGTCAATTCTAACGAAATAATGTAAAATTGTTTAATTTCAATTCCACACTTTCTCAAAAACTTCGAAGTGTGAATTGGTACTGCTGATGAATTTTCATGATGAAATTTGTTGGATCAGGTTTTTCGCCCACACTACTTTCAGATATTAGGAATAAGATTTCAATAAAAATGCAAAGGCTTAGCAGATTGTTATGACCTTTAACAGTGTAAGAGTTTACTGGAAGACAGAAATGAACGAAATTGTATGCTTATTTTGAGCCAATCTTTTCAGATGGCTATGTCAGAGTATAAGTATTTTTTTTATATATTTTATAACAATGAAGCACAACTAATTATCATCTGGAACAAACGTTTATCAGACGAAAACCTCATAAAATCTATTAGAAATCAACATTTAAATGAAAGGAATAAATAAAATGTTACAAAACAGGCTGTATGGAGACCAGTTGCTATCCATTACACTGGATCTGTAACAGTACACTCTAATGGAGCTCTGGGACATCATCCACTAGGCCTGGTCTATCCTTCAAACAGTACCCATTAGTAATACACTAGCTGCAACCCCTACCAGACACAGGACCTGCTGGTAGAGCAGACTGTCCCCTACCAGACACAGGACCTGCTAGTAGAGCAAACTGTCCCCTACCAGACACAGGACCTGTTAGAAGAGCAGCCTGTCCCCTACCAGACACCAGGACCTACTACACTGTAGTAGAGCAGACAGTCCCCTACCCGACACCAGGACCTGCTAGTAGAGCAGCCTGCCCCCTCCCAGACACAGGACCTGCTGGTAGAGCAGACTGTCCCCTACCAGGCCCCAGGACCTGCTAGTAGAGCAGTGTGTCCCCTACCAGACCCAGGACCTGCTAGTAGAGCAGCCTGCCCCCTCCCAGACACAGGACCTGCTAGAAGAGAAGACTGTCCCCTACCAGACACAGGACCTGCTAGTAAAGCAGACAGTCCCCTACCAGACACCAGGACCTGCTACACGGTAGTAGAGCAGACAGTCCCCTACCACACACAGGACCTGCTAGTAGAGCAAACTGTCCCCTACCAGACACAGGACCTGTTAGTAGAGCAGACTGTCCCGCACCAGACACCAGGACCTGCTAGTAGAGCAGCCAGTCCCCTACCAGCCACCAGGACCTGCTAGTAGAGCAGACTGCCCCCTACCAGACACAGGACCTGTTAGTAGAGCAGACAGTCCCCTACCACACACAGGACCTGCTAGTAGAGCAGACTTTCCCCTACCAGACACCAGGACCTGCTAGTAGAGCAGACTGACCCCTACCAGACACAGGACCTGCCAGTAGAGCAGACTGTCCCCTACCAGCCACAGGACCTGCTAGTAGAGCAGTGTGTCCCCTACCAGACCCAGGACCTGCTAGTAGAGCAGACCGTCCCCTACCAGACTCAGGACCTGCTAGTAGAGCAGACAGCCCCCTACCAGACACAGGACCTGTTAGTAGAGCAGACAGTCCCCTACCAGACCCCAGGACCTGCTACACTGTAGTAGAGCAGACAGTCCCCTCCCAGACACCAGGACCTGCTAGTATAGCAGACAGTCCCCTACCAGACACAGGACCTGCCAGTAGAGCAGACTGTCCCCTACCAAACACAGGACCTGCTGGTAGAGCAGACTGCCCCCTACCAGACACAGGACCTGCTAGTAGAGCAGACTGTCCCCTACCAGATACAGGACCTGCTCGGAGGAAAAAAGACTATGCCCAACTAGACACATGCCATGTATGGATTATAATCTATCGTTGTTCTAAATTTATTTACACTTATACTTCCTAGATTTGTACCATTCTCTCACTTTCAGATATAATAAGCTGTTCTCTATATTTACAATCTCCAGACTTTATTCTCATGAAATACATCTTTTCCTTCACATCATCACCTCTTACTCTCAGGAAATGTTACTATTGTGAAAAATCTCCCTAACTCATCTCAGGATTCTATGAGCTTTCCCACTCATTATCAGGAGTCTATGAGCTTCCCCACTCATTCTCAGGATTCTATGAGCTTTCCCACTCATTCTCAGGATTCTATGAGCTTTCCCACTCATTCTCAGGAAAAGGATTTGTTGTCACATCTATTCTCACTTAATCTACAGAAATACACCAATACATAAAGAGCACCTCCACACTAAACATTGGTCATACCATTCTCTGAAAATACAGCAGTATGTTGAAATCCAGTCATTCTCAATAAAGGCAGCAGTATGTACAAACAATAGCAGCCATTCTTACGATGTCCCACTCATTCTCAACAAGCACCCGGTGTACAACATTACTCCACTTTGTTAACAATTGAAAGATATCATCTTTACACAAATACAATTACACTTTTTACATGTAGCTAGCAAATATATAGTGTTTCAATCTGCATGGCAGGAAAAACTAGGACATTCCAGCATCTTACACTAGAGCTGTCATTCATCTATTTTTCACTTATGTTTTATTTTAATCTGTCTGCAATAAAGATGTTTATGATAAATGACTACAAATATTAATGTTTTGTTGAAACCGACTCAAACTTGAATAAATTCCTTACATACATCGTATAACAAACCTCTTCTATTCAATTATAGTAAAATCTGATCCATTTACAATAAGAAATATCTGAACATTACCAAAGTCAAGTTTGTCTAAACATCAACACAACTTTTGAAATGCATAATATTAACAAATAACATGTACATGTAAATAGATATATATACACACATAGATGTAAATAGTTTTATGATAACACATGTACATGCTAATAGTTTCATGTATATAACACACATACATGTAAATAATGACAACATTTTGAATTTTCTACAATGATGAAAATGATCACACATCAAAACAATTAGAGGTTTAGCGTAATAGCGTAATCCTTGGTAACGTATTCTGATGGCTTCACGCAGGACAGCACGGCTGTAGACAAATTTGAATTGGCAAGTCATTGCAAAACCACTGTTTTCTGGTAATATCTGGTAAGAACTTAACTTATGCAGCGAAGATGTACCAAGACAACTACTTGTTGTACTAATGTTTCTTCTGTATCCGACCAGAAACTCTGCAGCTTTGGATGCAGTGAAGAGGAAGAACCATTTTGATTGGTCAATACCAAACGGGATATATTCCTGCTGAGACAATTAAATGAACTTTTGATATCTGCCACAGTGTGAAAGATACCAGTATTCTCAAGCTGATAGAATTCAATAATTTACTAGCAAAAATGTTATAAATAGTTTTATAACACAATCTAAATATTAACTGTGTTATTATATACTTAACAATTTCTCGCAATCCCATTGGTCAGATTTTGCAAATGTGAGCAGTTCTCAAATATTTATTATGACCAGTATTTCAATGAAGATCATTTTCTAAATATTGCTTTTAGGGAAATTTTTGATAAACAGTTGCTTGATAATGAATATTTCAAAGATTTTTGTTATCCTTTGTATTCACCTTGGTTAATATAAAATTCTCAAGTTCATATCACATCATATTCACCATCACTTAAGTCCATAATTGTATAACTGTTACACACATATACATTTAAACATTTATAACACATTTAAATAGTTATATAACACACATGTAAATAATTAGAACACAAAAGCATGGAAACATAGAAATGTATATGACAACTCTTATAATAACACATCATTGTATAATAATGATTCACAAAAAAATGGAATCATGAGTTTTGTTGCATGACCATAACAACAAGTTATTGTAAACAATACGTAACAACATAACTGTATCATGCATTTTAATAAACGGGTGTCGACTTCTGTAACCAGTATTCACACAGTTAGCATTTAATAAAATGTATCTTCATGAGAAAGCACTGATCTGTTCCTTGACCGAACATGACTTGTAACTGCTTGGTAATCTCGGTGTAAGTGTATGTCTGGTGAGGATATAGACAATCATCTGGAGGTATATAATTGTGTATCACGCTAAAGGGAAATAAAATATCAAACAATTTTGGTGTTCAACATTACTGTACTTTTTTTTTTTTTTTATCAAATTTGATTGTTCCAAGAGCTTTGACCAGTTAAACCAGACCTGTTCTTTTATGAAACACGAGATGTTGTTTTTGACAGCAGAGGCCTTCAAACACGGTTACAGGTCCATCAAGCATACCCACTGAGGAATTTCCTTTCAAAAGTAGACCGATTGTTTCAGATCATTACCCCTACCTCAAACTTCCCAGATAATTTTCAGACAGATGGTCTTGACATTTTACATTTTCATTCTTTATTTCATATGGAGCCAATTTTATTCTTCGGTTTGATTATGTGTTAAGTTTTATGTTCTTAAAATTTTTGGATATTTTATTTTATTTTAAGGATTACATTTTGTGCTTATTTCCATTTGTTAAATTCTGTTTTGTAAGAACCGTTTTCTTTTGATTCATTGCATGCTATGACTGCAAGCCGCCAATAGTTCTTTTGTATTTTGCGATTTGTTACCAAATCACCTTGTTTAAATTATAGGTTAACTAACAAAAACAATTGTTTCAGAACCAGCGTCCATGTTGGATGAACATTTCACAGGTGTAAATATATGTGTGGAATTACAGGTAATCAACCTACCCTCAGATTACAGAAGTAACCTTATTAGTCTTTATCTTTGCATACGTAATGGGATTGTGTAAATGTTATACATGGAACAGACATAACATGGACTCTATGAGCACCAGATAACAATGTTAATACAACTGTAGTAACAGTCGTATATTAAGACTAAGAAAATCACTGATATTGTTTAATCAATGATGACTCCTAAAGCGTCAATACTCGAGGGCATTGTGGCATCATTACATTGCAGGCTATTAATGTGGATACAATTCTCAGTAATTTAGGTTGTTCAAACAATTTTTTAGGGGGGGTGGAATAATTTTTATATTTTAATATTTCCGATGTACAGCCTATAACAGAGCTTTCCTGTTCCTCCTTAGTTTCCTATTGATGTTTGAAGCCTAATGGAAACTACTGTAAACCATAGCATTTCTCTTATAACTACTGTAAACCACAGCATTTCTCTTATAACTACTGTAAACCACAGCATTTCTCTAATAACTACTGTAAACCACAGCTTTTCTCTTATAACTACTGTAAACCACAGCATTTCTCTTATAACTACTGTAAACCACAGCTTTTCTCTTATAACTACAGTAAACCATAGCATTTTTCTTATAACTACAGTAAACCATAAATTAAATCTCGTATAACTACTGTAAACCATAAATCAAATCTCTTATAACTACTGTAAACCACAGCATTTCTCTCATAACTACTGTAAACCATAAATCAAATCTCTTATAACTACTGTAAACCACAGCATTTCTCTTATAACTACTGTAAACCACAGCATTTCTCTTATAACTTCTGTAAACCATAGCATTTCTCTTATAACTACTGTAAACCATAGCATTTCTCTTATAACTACTGTAAACCATAAATCAAATCTCTTATAACTACTGTAAACCACAGCATTTCTCTTATAACTTCTGTAAACCACAACATTTCTCTTATAACTACATTACTCTTACCACTGATGCTTACAATACAGAGCCAGGTAACTAGTCTTATAGCTACAGTACTCTTACCACTGATGCTTACAATACAGAGCCAGGTAACTAGTCTTATAGCTACAGTACCCTTACCACTGATGCTTACACTACAGAGCCAGAAAACCAGTCTTATAGCTACAGTACTCTTACCACTGATGTTTACACTACAGAGCCAGGAAACTAGTCTTATAGCTACAGTACACTTACCACTGATGTTTACAATACAGAGCCAGGAAACCAGTATTATAGCTACAGTACCCTTACCACTGATGCTTACAATACAGAGCCAGGAAACCAGTCTTATAGCTACAGTACTCTTACCACTGATGTTTACAATACAGAGCCAGGAAACCAGTCTTATAGCTACAGTACCCTTACCACTGATGCTTACAATACAGAGCCAGGAAACCAGTCTTATAACTACATTACTCTTACCACTGATGCTTACAATACAGAGCCAGGAAACCAGTGACAATGTTACTTATAACCAAGTAAACTAGAAAATTTCTCTTATAACTACTGCAATTAAACCAGTGAGTTTCTCTTATAACTAAGAAAACTAGTAAATATCTCTTATAACTACTGCAATCAAACCAGTGAGTTTCTCTTATAACTCTGTGAGTAAACCTGAGTATCTAGCTTATAACTAAGTAAACCTGTACATTTCTCTTATAACTGGTGTTATTAAACCAGTGAGTTTCTCTTATAACTATGTAAACTTGTACATTTCTCTTATAACTGGTGTTATTAAACCTGTGAGTTTTTCTTATAATTCTGTAAGTTAACCACTGAGTATCTACTGTAACTTATAACTACAGTAAACCACAAACAATGATCTATCAGGAACTACAGTAAAACAGGTTGGCAACAACAAGTTTTTTTATTTTGCTAGACAAAATGTATACATTAATGATAAGTGTTTAATGTTCCTGACATTGACTTTGCATGAGAACAAAAATGTTATAGATGTGTGTTCCTACTTGACAAGTTTTACTGTACAATTTTGTTGAACTGCCATTTGGTTCCAAGTTTAAATAATCTTTAACAGATTTACATGTACCTACCGGTAACCTTGTATATCACAAACGAGATTCAAATACCAATAAATACTGAAATTTTATTTCAGATTTAACACTTCAACAATATATCTCACTTGTTAACCAATGTAAATTTCACAGACCAATACATATTAAAGTTAGATACAATGCAACTTTAATTGGGGACTAAACAATGAGGGATATCTTTAATGGTTTGAAATTAATGTTAAACAGGTCAAATTAGTATCAAATCTCTGACTATATAACCTATCAAACAAGTTTTAACCTCATTATCTATACTGATATGACTTACTTCCCTGCACATACTGGTGGCCATTTTTACGTCTGGGTAGATAAGAACAACGTTAACAGACACATCAACCCTGTCTTGTCTAATTTATAACATTCTTTTAGTTGGCAACAAAATAATATTTAAAGATATTAGAGTCCAGTAAAATGTTCTGGACTATTCTGGATGACTATTCTACTGACCATATTACAACATGACCATTCTACTGACCATATAACAACATGACCATTCTACTGACCACATTACAACATGACCATTCTACTGCCCATATTACAACAAGACCATTCTACTGACCATATTACAACATGAACATTCTACTGACCATATTACAACATAACCATTCTACTGACCATATTACAACATAACCATTCTACTGACCATATTACAACATAACCATTCTACTGACCATATTACAACATGAACATTCTACTGACCATATTACAACATAACCATTCTACTGACCATATTACAACATGAACATTCTACTGACCATATTACAACATGAACATTCTACTGACCATATTACAACATGCCCATTTTACTGACCATATTACAACATGACCATTTTCCTGACCATATTACAACATGACCAATCTACTGACCATATTACAACATGAACATTCTACTGACCATATTACAACATGAACATTCTACTGACCATATTACAACATAACCATTCTACTGACCATATTACAACATGCCCATTTTACTGACCATATTACAACATGACCAATCTACTGACCATATTACAACATGCCCATTTTACTGACCATATTACAACATGACCATGTTACTGACCATATTACAACATGACCAATCTACTGACCATATTACAACATGACCATTCTACTGACCATATTACAACATGACCATTCTACTGACCATGTTACAACATGACCATTCTACAACACCACTAGAGTATGAACCTTAATAAGGTAAACATGTAAAACAACCTTATATAAAGTTTTCCTAAAGTTTCAGTTTCACTCAGTTCCTACCAATAATTAGATACAACTTATTTAACTTCTGCTTATTGGTAATATAAATTGTAAATAAGTTTTGAATTGCCTTTAACAGAGAGCATGATACAAGGTAATTTTAAAGAATCAATGCAACGTATACGAACTAGATAAGGAAGCACAAATGTTTATCGTAACAGACTTTTAAAGCTCAAACTATATGTACAGATTACATATTTCATCAATGGATATTAATGGTATCACGTCATTCACAGTCATATGTTACTGTAATATTACCTGTATAAGTCATAGAGGTGCCTATAGGTACAAAATAGTGCCACAATCAGGAGAAATTAGAACCATATGAATATCATAACTTCATGGGACTTGAGCTTCTATAGCAGTTAACATGCAGTTCAACACTTCATTCAAAAACGTAAATGACACCCTTAATCTGCCCTAAGCCATGGACGAAAAAAGGGCAACAACCCCGATATTTTACACAGACGTATTTAAATGTACAACTAAACTGAAATGTCCTTACAGCAATAACCTTACAGCAATAACCTTACAGCAATAACAAAACAAGATAAATAAGAAAAAACTTGCATACAAGTTTGCATTACTCTCAATTAATTCTAAAATGTTACAATCCTCAATTAAGCAATACTTATAGAACTTGTTTTCATTTGCATTCTGGCCCAGACCACCTTTGAACTTTGCACTAAAAATGGTATGGTAAAGTACATGCATCATGCTTGTCAATGTTTTAGTTTTTTCATTTCATTTTCTTTAGCACAAACATTTTGCATCATGGCTACAGTGAAACACAAAATCTGAGTGTCCCATCGCAAGAATTAAACAAAACATGAACAAAGTACCTTAGATCCAAGTCATACACCAAAATAGATTTTAAAATAAAAAAAAAATAAAAAAAAAAATAGCTTCAGTTCAGTGCACTTTGCATATAAACAATGAATTCTTTCATCTGAACTACCAGTTGAAATAATCGATAACAATAAGTTCATTACAATATTACAAATTATTTTCTGTTTTGCTCAAGATAACAAAAGCATTTGTTAATGTCATTGGTAAAGAAGTTTTGAAAATTCTGGAGATCACCTGCAACTATGCTTAGTTCATGAACACATACATATTATCCTTCGTGCTATTTTTTCATTTAAAACCAAAATATTTAAACATCATAACATTGTTTCAAAATACCAAAAAATTAATAAATAAATAAAGATCACAATGAAACAGTGTGATGACTAATATTTCATCAAGATGATGCAAACAATGTAAAAATGCCCAACTTGAACCGTGACGGAAACAATGACTATCATGAGTTGAGACAATGCTAATTAACGTATCAAAAAGCATTCAATATATAAACAATCACAGAGCATCATATTGACTTTTAGACCATGAAGAACAATAACGAAATGGAATAGTCAAATATATAATTATGGAAAATGAAAAACAAATGTATAAATTGAAATTCATCAAATATACATCAAAAATATAAAAATGAAGATATTACCTGCACTAAAGTTTTACGAGTAGGAAGTAGAATAGAAGATCTTTATACTGCAACCAATCGTCAAGCCAAATTTTGACATTTTATAAAGGAGTTTGGCGATATTTTGTAGGAAATGTATAAATGAAATTTTGATAAAAGATAGAAAATGGGACACTGAAGTAAGTGAGATGGCCAATGAAACTGTGGGCATTATAACAAAGGTTTTACTGTATATAAATTAAGGGGATTATATTACCATATGGATTTCTGATAATGGCATCATAATGTAAACATATAAGAGGACAAGCGGATCTCTAGCAGTCATTATTTATCTACTGGATCTACAAAGTTATAACAACTTTAAGCTCTCTTGTGTAGAGTCCACTTTCTTCCAGCACAAATATAAAAAAATGAAACCAAAAAATAGAACCAAATAATTATGAAAGTCTCCCAAAATTCACTGATAACTGGTAATAAATTTTATCATATTTTTGCTTCGTAAAATACTTCATGAAGGCAAACTTCTTCTGACCACAATATTGAATAAAATTTAAATAAACAGAGATCGTGAAATATTTGACATGTAAATCCTAACATTATTTAAAGCTTTAATGACATCACAGTGAAAAAAGCACTGAAATAAAACAGCACCCTGAACAATGTTTAATAACTACCTTTGGTGTTAATTGACTTTTAATAGATCTGATATCAGTGAAGGACCTAAAACAATTTACCTGTTGCATAAGGTAAATCATGGTTGACATTTTAAGCACCATAAATTTATACATAAAACAAGACTCATGAACTGTAAAACTTGCCTGATTAGTTCTGTATCAGGCTAATTAGACAGTTCAAGATCCTTCAAAATGGGCATCACTGTAAAAATCTGCTTTCAAACTGAATGTATATGTATTGTATTAAAACAGAACATTTTTTGTAATATTACATGTATATATTACAAGTTTAATACAAAACCAATTTTGCTTGCATTTCAAAGTTTTTTAGAGTATTTGAAATCCTATTATTTGTATTTACGATCTATATGTGACATACAGATTTTACAGAGCTCTATTTTGCTGATAACAGAGACTAAAGAAAATTTCACACATAAGACATAAGTTAGTGATGAAACAATGTACAGGATTCATATTTGACAGTGGGAAGGTCACAAATACTGGCAATCCCCTGGATATGGACTATAGCAACAGGAAGTTAAATAAATATATTAATCCAAAAAATTAATTGAAATAAAATCAAATTAAAAAAAAAGAAAAAAATATCATGCATGTATTGCATACAAGATGAGTACACATTTTAACTTTTAAAGTGTTCCAAGTTAAAAATCAAATGGAAATTAAGTACAGAAATATGAGGAAGCTCATGTCCTAAGCCCAAAATGCATGCCTGTTTCTACCCGTATATACATATAGGACAGGGACTCTGCTATGTCACTATGTAGCCTTGTGGTTTCTGGGCAACAGCTGATTTTTTAAAGCAGGCAGAACAATAGAATTCGGTAGCCTCAGTTCCAAAAAAAGTACAACCTGCCGTTCTACAGGGGGCTCCCACCCCTTTGTTAGCTGTGTTGGCCACTTTTGGTTGCAAGATCGTTGGATGGACAGGCCCTGAGGAGTTTGGCACTGTAGAGTGCCCAGGAACAGAGGAGTTGGACGCAGGTATCCGACTTGGGCCCAAGGGGTTTGGTGCTGCTTTGTTATAAGTCTTGTACTCCACATTATCGTAATCCGGTGATGGTGTTCTATCTCGACCAGACATTACATTTGCATGGTGCTTGTTGTTGACCTGTGAAGAGGGTGGACCTGACTTTGACACCAGCAATTTCGGATCTGAGACAAATGCATCGTCAGCATCAGCAACCTCATCCGGTGAGATATAAAACATGGACTGGCCACACTTTTTTATAATTTGTTCTGGACCTTTAGACGGATTTTGAGGGTTGGAAGTTTTATTGCTCAATTTTTCCTTCTCTAAAGCTTGAAGTCTTTGCTCAGAGAAACACTTAGAACATAGGTAGCAGGTTTCCGGGTTGCCGTACATGTTGCATGCAGATGTGACACACTTCGTCAGATGGTCGCTATCAGCATAAGTGCCAAGGGATCGACGACGAATCTCTTCCCTGCTAGGCCTCATCAGCTCTCGATCTTGCTTGAAACGTGCTTCTGAGTCTTGAAGGTAATTGTTGATCATGCGTCTACGAGTCTGGCTCTGAGACACTGAAAGTTTTGCACACCAAACAAATGTCTGTTCTTGTTCTGACATGGCTGCTATGGTGAGTTGCACTTTCGTACTTTGTGTAACACCACCTACACGCTTCCCTTTTTCTGAATCTGGCCCCATTGATTTGAGAGCTTTTCCCACACTTCCAAAGTTCTTACGTAACTTTTTACCCACACTTTTTCCTAAGCTTCCAAACTGTTTCGTCATGTTTTGAATCTGTTGAGACATTTTGCTATCACGTTTCTTATCCTTTCCAATACAACCCAGATTTTCATCAGACTCGTACGACCCCGTCGAGCGAGCATCACTATCATAATCACTCTCACAAAGAATTGGTAGTTTGTCCATTTCAAGAAACTGCTGGAGCAGGTTGATGCGATCCTCTAGACTGTTACACACGCTGACACCGATGCAGTTGGTCCGGCCCCAGTCATACCCTGCACCTGGGTCTACCGCAAAGTGTAGCGGTAACAGGACAAGGTCTGGTCCAACCAAGGGCACGGCAGCTACAGAACAACAAGATAAAATCATGTTAACATCATAGCTAAACACAACAATTTACTATCTACATAATGTAATATCGACATCATAGTGACACGGGCACAATAGGTTCATATTCACCTACACATCAAAGCCACACACTCACAATATGTCAACATGTACATACATTAGTGTACATCTCTATCTTACCCACCTACACCTCATAGCCACACACTCACAATAGGTCAACATGTACACACATTAGTATACATCTCTATCTTACCCACCTACACATCATAGTCACACACTCACAATAGGTCAACATGTACATACATGATTGTACATCTCTATCTTACCCACCTACACAGCATAGCCACACACTCACAATAGGTCAACATGTACACACATTAGTATACATCTCTATCTTACCCACCTACACATCATAGCCACCCACTCACAATAGGTCAACATGTACACACATTAGTATACATCTCTATCTTACCCACCTACACATCATAGTCACACACTCACAATAGGTCAACATGTACATACATGATTGTACATCTCTATCTTACCCACCTACACAGCATAGCCACACACTCACAATAGGTCAACATGTACACACATTAGTGTACATCTCTATCTTACCCACCTACACAGCATAGCCACACACTCACAATAGGTCAACATGTACATCCATTAGTGTACATCTCTATCTTACCCACCTACAGATCATAGCCACACACTCACAATAGGTCAACATGTACACACATTAGTATACATCTCTATCTTACCCACCTACACATCATAGCCACACCCTCACAATAGGTCAACATGTACACACATTAGTGTACATCTCTATCTTACCCACCTACAGATCATAGCCACACACTCACAATAGGTCAACATGTACATACATTATTGTACATCTCTATCTTACCCACCTACACAACATAGCTACACACATCAAAGCTACCATAGCTACACAAATATATCAAGTCAACGAACACTTCAATTTCATTACTATTTACTTGAATATCTTTAAATGCCCCATTCACCTACAAGTTAATTTTGGTGCTTTGTCATCAGTTGTTATCATTTTAACTTCAGATATTTGTTCTCTTTGGATATCTCATACTGACCACAAGACAAATTCTAGTGACATGATTGTATATTTCTCATCATGCTTAATAACTATAAATGTGGTAATAGGGTCAGGATCACACCTGTTTATATATCTATTATGATTTAAGTCCCCTGGGATGTTGACTGACCCAGATCCAACCCTAGAAGCATGGGTGTAATTGTCAAAAGCCAGGTGAACAAGAAATAAACATGATATATCACCAACCATTGTGTGGCATTATAGTACAGACATTGATATGAAGATTATGTCATTTCACAAAATAACATAAATTTATCACTAGATTATTTCAAAACCAGGTAACACTCACCTGGAAGAGCTGATTTATCTTCAGTGGGTGGCGAGCTTTGTTTTTCCATAGGCACTAGAGCAGAGAAGTGAGCAGCATCATAGGTGAGTAGCAGAGGTGACCTGTAGCAGGACTTGGACTCAATCTCTAGAGGCAGGTAAATCCCACCAAAGGGGATGGGAGCGAGAGCCTCCCCATGAGAATCCTTCAGGATGGTGTCTGCCACAACGATGATAGCTCGCTGTAGGACATGAGCCAACACAAACACGTGGAACTCTTCCAGACTTTCGTACACCACTGGGGTTGATGCTTCTCCTCTGTAACACATAACACACAGGCATAAATGTACGCGAAAGGCAAATCAACAGCTTGTAACATTCTGATATATGTTTTAGAATTCTTCTTAATCTATGATTATGTTGTCACGGTTTTAAGATCTCAAAAGTCATCAAGTTAAATGGTTGTTTCCAGATCTCCAAGAGAGCTAGAGAACACTTCCAGACATGTGTGTAACATTTACATCAAACTAGAGGTAAGCATTCTTTATGTCCATATGAGCTGGTCAATGTTACTGTTTACATTTATTTTTATTTCAAATACTATACAGCTGAGGGTATAAACCCATCAGGGTTGATCTATCAGTAGATATTCTACAATATATAAAGTATAGAGAACAAGGTCGGTAGATAGGCAAAAAGTAAGTCAAAATGACCAAAAGCATCTGCCCGACTCTACATTGAGCATTTTTGACCTTGATAATAAATATGTATGATGGGCTATTGTCTGATAAAAAGTGAATAGTATACATTACAATACTTGATACAAATATTAAACAATATGTTAAACAATCCTGGCTTGGTTGTCTTAAAGAACCTATTCCATGACCAGGGTAGGTGTTTCATAGTTAAAAAATATTATTACACAAGCAACTGCTGAATATGGTATACACAGCGAGATGAACTTTATAAAAGATTTCATCATTACCCCTGAGTAATGGCACTATCACAACAACTACTGCTGCGGCGAGACATGCCAGGCAGGGACCTAGGACGGGTGGAGGCCAGCTTCAGGACGCCCTTCCACTCCTGCTGCCATTCATCTTCAGAGAAGATCAGACCCGACTGAAAAGAACGAAAATAAATACACTGTACAGTGAAACCAGGCAACATGAAGGGGGTCTGAATTATTTGTGTGTATCTGTGTGTTGGTCGAATAACTTTACAAAAGGTCTGAAAATAAAATGTATTGACTTATATTTATCACTCTTGATGGATTGGATTGTAGCGCACCAGAAGTCTTAATGCGAAGGAAAACTGAAGTACCATGAGAAAACCAACATGGTCGAGCAGGTGACCTCAGACCTTTTCATATCGGAATAGGGCATCAACCCACAGTCACCTTGCAGTGGTGAAAGGTAAGTGTGCTATCCACTACTGCACTGGACCACCTGAGTCAAAGTTAATCACAAACTTAAGTAATCAGTCTTTTAGGGCAAAACCACTACAGTCAATTATTTGTAACAGTGTATTGGAAGGTGAACTTCTGTGATCTATTAATGCTTTAATGAATTGTTACACTCTTAATATATTACCCTGTTTGAGATTTAACTTACTCTATACCCCATACATTTATAACGATGCCCACATCTGTAATGACTCGACTTATTTACTCTATACCACATACATTTATAATGATGCCCACATTTGTAATGACCATACTTATTTACTCTATACCACATACATTTGTAACGATGCCCACATCTGTAATGACCATACTTATTTACTCTATACACCATACATTTATAAAGATGCCCACATCTGTAATGACCATACTTATTTACCCTATACCACATACATTTGTAACGATGCCCACATCTGTAATGACCATACTGATTTACTCTATACCCCATACATTTATAATGATGCCTACCTCTGTAATGACCATACTTATTTACTCTATATCCCATAAATTTATAACGATGCCCACATCTGTAATTACCATACTTATTTACTCTATACCACATCCATTTATAATGGTGCCTACCTCTGTAATGACTCGACTTATTTACTCTATACCCCATACATTTATAACGATGCCCACATCTGTAATGATCATACTTATTTACTCTATACCCCATACATTTATAATGATGCCTACCTCTGTAATGACCATACTTATTTACTCTATACCACATACATTTATAATGGTGCCTACCTCTGTAATGACTCGACTTATTTACTCTATACCCCATACATTTATAACGATGCCCACATCTGTAATGACCATACTTATTTACTCTATACCACATACATTTAAAACGGTGCCTACCTCTGTAATGACTCGACTTATTTACTCTATACCACATACATTTATAACGATGCCCACATCTGTAATGACCATACTTATATACTCTATACCCCATACATTTATAACTGTGCCTACCTCTGTACTGACTCCACTTATTTATTGCCCTGTTTTGAGAGTTCAAACTTCACTTGTACCTGAAATACGACGGTGCCTGCCTACCTCTTTGTTGACCTGGGTCTGCTGCCACCTCCAGCGCCTGTACAGGGCCTTGCTGTAGGTTTGTCGTGTCAGTGTGTCATACAGAGCCTTTCTTAGCATCAGCTCACGGTCATGGATACCCCACATAGCTGGTAATATAACACATCATCTTTGGTCAAAGGGAGGCAACTAAATAATGCTATGCTGGTGTCATAACAGCAATAATTTCCCAAAGGCTTAGATATAAAGTAAAGGCTCTGTATCTACATTTCTATATATCAATGTGTTACCTACTGTAGATCAAATTTACAATCTCTTACCTGTATCTTTATTATACTCTTTACATTGGAAAATCAATTCTTTTTTTTCCATGAGAGAATAAATATTGAATAAATGTAGTCCTAAAACACAATAATTTTCAATAGGCCATTAGAATGATTTAGTTTCTAGAAACAATGTTAATCTTTCCTTACAATCAGTCAGGTGTTTTCAAAGATAGAAATGCAGATATTTCTTCTCTGATTTTTTTCTGTTAATCAGGTCCATGGAATTGTTTCCTGGTATTACACTTGCTACAAAAGTCTTAGGGCCTGTTCGCTTATGCGGAACAACCGGTTCGTCCGTTTTTAAAGGTAACAATTTCGGGTATTAATCCTAGCGGACCTGCAAATATTTATGCAGGCCTTGCAAGGTTTTGTCAAGGCTCGCCTGAAAGCAGCATCAGATTACTAGGTCCGACATTATTTAATAAACGAACAACTGTGGTCCGACCGGTTGAACCGTTTAAACGAAAACGGCCGTACACTTTACCTATCAAATAGGATTTGAGATAGTTTTTAAATGATATTCTAACTTACAGTGGTATCATACACATAACAAGTCTGAAATCAGATCTGCTAAACTATTCAATGAAGCTGTATAATCTTTTCTAAAAAAGAGCCATAATGTTGCTTCTAGGTAACCAATTTTTAGAGCACTGATAACGAGGACAAGATAGTTATATAATGCTATTCACATGTATCAATTTGAAAAACTAAAACAGTGTTCCCCCTCAAGCCACTACTGCATGTATCAGCTATCACAACATGTGTACCTAGTGATGCAGCATGTAACAAACAGTTGCCATCCCCCGAGGTTGCCATGGGAAGGAGTCGCTGGCAGATCCCCATCTCTGCCCACCAGTTCAGTCGCCCTGGAAACAACACATAAAGTAGAATATGGTAGCAGATCATTCGGTCAGGATTTTTCAATATCAGGATTAAAACTGTTTAACTGTTGATTAATAAATAGGAATTAAAAAAAAGGACAATTGTGTTGATTGCTGATTAGGCAGTAGATCAGCAACTGATATCCTTCAAAACACAATTAGACCTGATGTTAATGGTATTTTTCCAGTGCTCTGATGTCATTGATGTTCAAGCCTGGAACTCGTACTCTGGCTAATATTTGGTCCTATACGTATGCTGTGTGACCTGACATAACCATGCCTAGATATGCCAGGTGACACTGTCATATGTCAACGAGACGTCCCATGTTTATCTGTAACTGACCTAGGTCTTTTATATTGCTATTCAAAAAATGCTGGCACAATTGAATTTCTGTCCAGTATGCAGGTAGAATGCTCACCTTTTATTGAGAAAACATCCAGTTGCTCCTAAGCAATCATATAAACTGATCATATAAGATTATAAATTATATTCCCTCCCTTCCTATCACTCTCCCCAAAATATTTTTCCCTTCCCAGTGATAATCTCTATGACACATGCACTAATTAGCCCAAGGGTCAATCAGTTTGTACAATGTAAGCACACAAAACTGTAAAAACAGTCAATGACAGTCATAAGGTCAGTCATGTTAATCTGTATCCATGTACAGGGCATTGTCCACTGGGTGTACATATGTGAGTCAGGAAATATATATCACACACTATTTATTCAAAAGTATTCAAAATTGTTATCAACCATGATACCTATTGCACATTTTTTTCTGTTACCTGTTGTGTAGCAAGATGAAGGCATGTTATTGCATGGAGAGCACATCATGTGCACATGGTGCATGTTGTCATGTGCACATGGTGCATGTTGTGCAATTCCACAACAGTGGAAATTCTCTGGCATAAAGATACATTATATGTTTTATTAATTAATTCGAAACAAACAAGAGGCCCAATTGGCCTGCATCGCTCACCTGGTATTAATCTCACACTTGTAACCTCAAAAGTGATCTAAAAATAAAGCTACAGGCAAAATATCAGTATTTATGACTATTAGTCATTCATAAGAACCTGTTAAAAGATTTTAAAACATTTCACCCCTGTGACCTTGAAAGTCGAACAAGAGCATTACGTTGAACAAATTTTAACGCCCTTCATCTCAGGATGCAACTTGCAAAATATTACCACCCTATCCTTTTGTTTATTGAGATTAGGTCATTTAAATGTTTATACATATTTAACCAAATGTGACCTTAAAAGTGGGTCAAGGGCATTCAAACAAAAAAGCTTGATAGACCTTCATCCAAGCATGCTACTAATATCAACATTCTTGGCCTTTTGGTTATTCAGAAGAAGTCGTTTAAAGGTTTTTTTTAGACAATTGACCCCTGTGACCTTGAATATAATTCAATGTCATTCATTTGATCAAACTTGGTAGCCCTTCATTCCAGCATGATACTGACTAAATATTATCATACTGATCCTTTCGGTTATTCAGAAGAAGTTGTTTAAAGTAAAATATTGACGCCAGACGCCGCACCACGGCATAAGCTCACTTGGCCCTACGGGCCAGGTGAGCTAAAAACTGACCTGCTTGTTCCAAGGACACTAGTGTTGAGGTTTCGATGAGGTCCTTCTCCAGGAAAGCACGATAGTCAGAGGAAAAGATAGTGAGGTCAGGTAAGACAAATGTCTGCACATACATGTGATCATGGCTGTCCTCCTCGATGTCATGTAGAAGGCTACTTCTGGTCGCACTCACCAGTGATTCATTCTCCACGATCTTAGAGAATCCACGCTTCAGAGGCCGAGGAGCTGTAACAATGAAGATTGTTTTAAAGTTTATAACAATCCAGACATTTTATCACTAAAAGTAAACTAAGGCAATTGAAAAACATCACCTAGAGAAACTGTGAGCAAGCTCGCAAAGCTATAGCCCCCGCTTCATTTTATCTGTGTATTCAAACTTTGTTTGCAGGGGATATAATGCCCCAGCAGTCACAAATCCTTTCCTTCATGCACATCTACATATGATGTACTTTCACCGTGTCGAGGGAAAAAAATATCCCACAAAAAGTTGAGGAGGAGGTGCACTTATAATTATGAGGTTCATAGACAGACAGGGCAATTAAAACATATTGAACATTAATATACTGTTTACATCAATGTGCTAACTTTGAAGCACTAATTTATATAATGCTAAATTTAAGACATATATAGGAACTGTAAATAACCAGTCTCAAACATTCATGTTTGAAAATTTATTTTCCCAATTAACTAATTTCTTCTAATGGCAAAATAATATGTGCAGTATGGTAGTAGCTGAAATCTGGTTTGGTATTTATAAAGGTGCATCAGTCTCATATATGCATGCATCTAGTTATGTTGGGAGGGAATATGTAGGTCTTTTATTTGTATGACTAGTTTTGAACTTACATGATGGGGTGACAGGTGCAGTCTTAGATTCCCGACTGCCTGTATCCTGTGTCTCTCCCTGGTTCCCTGTGGGTGTCACATCGGCTGACCTGGTTTCTTTGGCCAGTGATGTGTGTTTATCACTGGAGACTATCTCACTGACTGGCCTCTGTATAGATGTTGTCTGACTCGGTGGTAGGGAGCCTCCCACCATTCTAGACGTTGATGCCTTACTGTCATACATGATCTCACTTTGGGGTCGTGGTGGCTGAGAATGAATTTTCCCTCCTGGCACTTGACTCTGTTGCTTAACCTGAGATCCAAATCCAGAAGTTTGCTGATTTACATACTGTATGGGAGTGCTTGACCTTTTTTGACCTTCAGTCTCTAACCCTGAATGCTGGCCGGGCCCCTTGATATTGATGACTGATATTCTTTGTCCTGGACCTGACCCTACCCCGGATCTAACTTGTCCATTACTACTTTTTTCAGGACTACTAGAAAGAATGTTTGACCTTGGGTTGATTTCTGCGACCTTGCCTGGTCCTGACATATACTGACCAGGTGTTCCTTGATGGGAGGTAGCTTGTGGTTTGACTGCTTGAACTTTGAACTTACCCTGGTCTCCTGGTAACCTACCCTGTCCACCTGGTAATAGTCCTTGGTCACTTTGAAACATAGCATGTTCGCCTGGTAACCTGTTATAACCTACAGACATCCCGCCTTGATCTCTAGGAAATCTACTTTGGTTTCCTTGATATCTATTTGGGTCTCCAGACAGCCTGCTCTGATCTCCAGGAAACCTTGTCTGGTCACCTGGATGATCCCTGAAGTGCATCTGCACTTGTTGGCTGGCTGGTCTCTTGGCCATAGGGGGTGGGGTGGAGGCGCGACCTGTAGCCTGTGACAGGGGACGAGGCTTCTCCACTTGTATAGGAATAATCCTCTCCTGCCTTGGCTGTGGGCCCCGGTACAAACCTGTACCTCCTGGGTAGGTTTCCTGTCTGGGTTGTCCACTTGAATACCGCTGGGCATTTGACACATTGGATAGCTGACCACTGGTCATCCCCGGATTATTGGACAGGTGGGATGGCTGTCTGATGGTCATTCCTGGACCACTTGATGAGCGGGACGGCTGACCACCAGTCATCCCTGGAGCACTGGACAGGCGGGAGTGCATTGGTGGCTGGACGGGCTTGATCTTACCAACCTTGACCAGGTTGTCAAACATGCGATAGGACTCCACTAGGTCCCAGTCAGTATCTACAACATAGCAAACATACTAGCAATTTCCCTTGAGGAGTTTCGGAAAATTTTCATCTATTTTTTTCAATCAAAACAGACCTTTTATGTTTACTGTTCAAGTGAAGACTCTCATGTGTAATGCACAAAGAGTGGAAAACGACACTCCTTAGTATTGTACCCTGGCTATATATATGTGTATATAATAGCGATAACATATCAAATTTCATAATTACTCCCTTCTATCTGAACATTCTTTAGTGACAAGGACTAAACAATTTTTTACAGATAAACCCGAGCCTATTCAGGCTATACTGCAGGAATTAAGAGCACCATATAGATTACAACTGAAAGCTAAGACCTGGTCGATTTTTGTGTTACAAGGTAAATACATATAAACTTACATATGCATTTGATATCTACTCTGAAACAACGTCACAGATAACTTGAGGGCTAATTCTAGTCATTAATTTTTGTGATTTTGAATTTCACTTTTGGCCCAAGTGTTGAATGTTTGACCAAATGGGCAAAGCATGAAGCCCAGGATTTATTAAACCACACTCTTTCATTGACGTCACATTTATACATTTTTGGCACAGTCATCATCATTGGTTTTGTTGATGCCATATAGGTACCTCTGGGGTCAACTGTCCTGACAGAGATCAATGAATATAGTAAATAATTTAGCAAAACTTTGTTAAGTAAGTTCAATCAGATAAGTAACCAAAGAGCCCCCATGACATAGACATAGTACGTGATAATGAATAAACAAACTGGTGCCACATCACAACAACCAGTTCATAGCGACCCATTTAGTATGCGAGGTCACAGTTACCAAGGTGATATAAAATAAATCAAACACAATTGAAAGGCCATAGTTTATATAACCAAATAGACACTTTTATATGATAAAGGTCACAGTGACCCAGAGGACCTAAATTTATAATGTTAAAGTAACTGAGATGTTCTCATAGTCTGAGAGTACCAATGAAATCACAGTGTTACGTATGTAACGTCACCGAAATCAAGGAAACACAAGGTCATGGTAACCCATCGTCCACAGAGACATATTAATGCTTATTACAGCCACCAAACAGATGATTGTAAACAGTTGTCATGGTAACTAAAAAGACAAAATATACAGATGTTTCACAACAAGTAACCATAAAAATGTGGTAAAATGCATTATGTGCAGTGACTTAATTAAAAACAGCTGTGATAACAGACACAGAATTACACATTGACAAAAATGTCATTCTCGTTGATCGCGCGATGACCCTCAAATTGTTCGTAAAAAGACACATGCACACTTAGTTGTTGACGATACACATAAAGTTACATGATAACCCACATGTACAGTTATCTATCACATAGTGGCCAGTCCAGTCTGTGAAAAAACACTCACTTCATTCAGTCAGCTCGGATCTCCTCAGCTTAGCCACTTACGTATTGATTACCTTTTACATATGACCATCTCTCCCCACAGAATTGATTTTATATCTGGTGGGTATCGCTACATCACAGCCTCACTGAGTACTGCACAAGTGAAGGAGGCAAAGTGATCACTGTTGCCTCCTCCCATTCCAAATCAATAGTAACCTCTGACCTGTGTGCCAGTTTTTTTAAACCCCAAATGTTCTTTTTCAGATGCCAAGGCTAGTTGCTTAAAGCATTTTTAGCTTAAAAATCTTAGAAAATAAATAAAAATAGGATTTAAAACCTTTCATCCTAAAAAATGTCAAATGAAACCCTAATAATTTCAATTTTTTGTTTCATGTTAATTTGTTGGATTCCAATATATATAAATGATGTTTCTATTTCATATCTGAAAATATATGTAATTAAAGAAGACATATTAATTTTCCCATTCTCTTGAAGTTAACCAAGCTTTTAACAATTTTATATAATTGTATACAACTTCAATTAGCTTAATGAGGTAATACTGTGAAAGATTTTTTATCCAATATAATGATATTGTAAAACAAATGCCCAGGGCAGGGGTGGTAATAGTTCACCTGGAATATACTTTCAAGTTACAACCTGTTTAATATGGTATTTGTTAATCAAAAGTGTACAAGTATTATAACCTGTAACAAGGACAAAATACCAAGGCGCAGGTAAAACACTAAGGACATTTGTTTCCTCTTGCTGAGCAATTTGATATTTGGTTATCAACGATCAATCCCAGTAGCAAAACTGTATTTGTCACTTCATGCCTACCAACTGTTACACATAGTTATAGAGTGGGGATGTCAAATGTTTCCATGTTTTGACCCAGAGAATAAGCACCCAGGGGCAAAGCCAGGCCCTAGAGCCAATCTGATAGTAGCATGAGTGTATTTGTTTCTTCATGCTTAGGAATTGTAATTATGGTATAGCAAGGGGATGTCAATTGTCTCCATTTTATGTGACCCATGGATTTAGTCAGTGGGTCTTGACATCCAAGCAAAATTATTGTAGCATGAGAGTATCAGTCTCTTTATGCCTAGCAATGGTTTAAAACTGTAAGGTTAGAGCATGGGCATTTTAGCTGTTATAACCAGAGAGTAAGTACTCAGGGGCAGGGCTGGCCCTGAGACCCCAAGCCAATCTTGGTAGCATCAGTGTATTAATCTCTTCATGCCTAGAAATTGCATATATGGTTAAAGGGTGAGGATTTCAAACGTCTCCATGTTATGACTCCCTGAGTAAGAATCAAGGGATGAGGCATGACCCCAAGATTAATTCCAGTAGCATGAATGTAATAATTTCATCAAGCTCAGCAACTATATATATGGTTGTGGTGTGGAGATCTCAGCAATTTCCATGTTAGAACCAATGGAGTTAATTCCCAGGCATGGGGCTTGAACCCTGGGTAAATCCTATTAGTATAAATGTATTTATTTCTTCATTCCCACTTATCTGTATACAGTCTGTAAGTGGTCATATAGTGGGGGTGTTGATTTAAGGAGTTTGGTTTAGTTTAGTTTAGTATTGTTTAACGTCCAATCAACAGCTATGGTCATTTAAGGACGACCTCCGCTGTGTGCAAAATGCATGAGTGTAGTGTTTGCGTTTGTGTTTTGGGAGGCTGCGATATGTTCCTGTCTGTCTCCTTGTGATAGCGCAGTACTGATGCAGACTTTATAGTGCTACCTCACTGAAACATACTGCCAAAGACACCCAGCAGGACACCCCACCTGGTCACATTATACTGACAACAGGCGAACCAGACGTCCAACTCCTAAATTGCTGAGCGTTAAGCAGGAGTAGGAACTATCATTTTTACAGACTTTGGTATGTCTCGGCCAGGGGACAGAACCCAAAGCCTTCCTCACGGGGGCGAACGCTCAACTAAAGGCCAAAAGTGAGACATTGTCAAGGGAGACATTAGGAAGAAGAAAATTGTTTAGAAAGAAGAGAAAAGATAAGATCCCAAATTTAGTCGCCTCTTACGATCATGAAATGGGTGCAGCAGGTACAATTCTTATGCCCTACCTGCAGGCACCTGTTTTAAAGAAAAACAGCTTTACATTCCCATATAGGGGCCTACCTCATTGGCTTTATGGACAACACCATATTTGCTTTATATAGAATATGGTTAACTTGCCCTAGTGATGTTTCAAACCAAATATAGTTACAATCTATGCAGTTTTTCAGGAGGACTAGGATTTTGAAGCAAACATATCCTGAATTCACCTTTTAGGTCCTACACCTCCAATACAACCTTCATTATACAACATACACTTTGCCCAAGTACTGTATTAGAGCAAAAATGATTGTAATCTCTGCAGCCATTCAATTAGGAAGAGGTGGTGTTTGAAGATGAAGCTGTTTAATTTTGCCCTATATAGGGTCCACCTTATGCCATATGCCCCTCGAGCTCTGGCCACATGGGTTTATAAACTTCAATTTGCGAATTTATATATATATAGAAAAAAATCAATAGGGCCAAGTTGAATGTTGCGAGTTACCCTATCACCCTATTTGTTTCCTCTTTCTCCTGAGATTACTCTACTATATTAAAACCCTATAAAAAATATTAAAGAGACAATTTGTTTACTTACCTAAGCGAACTACCGTAATTTTTTCATATATGTAACAGGAAACAAACATATTTTTTGGTTTGTCCTAGGGTTTTTGTAATACCTTCAGACATAATGGAGAATAGAGATTATACATTTGTTTATATATATATGGCTTTGACCTTGATGACCAAGGGAATTAAAACTGGCCATGAGATAATTTACCAGCCATCCTCCAATTCAAGAAGATCTGAGTTTAACCCCGGGTATAATGGTATAGGAATCCTCCAAGGAGGCCATTTACACCTGTTGTCCTTGATAGCATCCCTAGGGACTCGTCACAACAGTAGTCCATTGGCTTCAACATCAAATGAGGGCCAATGTTTACCATGCTTTTAAGATACATTTATGTACTTTTGCAATCTGGGTGATAGCCGCAGATAGAGAAGAAGACAGAATTGAGATTGAGACATTTAACATGTTCCTGGTATTATAGACATGTTGCTGCCTCAATACAAACAGTCTAATAATCCTTTTGATGGATAGAAAAATGTTATAAGTGTAATACTGTTATTGGGTAAAAAATATTTGTATATTGTTTGAAATTGTTATCTTGATATATATTGGAGTGTATCTGTCAACATAAGTGGAGGTAACTCATGATCATTGGGTATCGGAGAAAGAATGTACACAGTCAATATTATCTTGAGATCTTGGTTGTAAAATGGGAAATTTATCCCTACATCAAGTCAGATTCTTAACACATGGAGTTATATTTTTCATTTACAAAATCTCAACAAAATTATAACATGTTCATGTAACACATTCAAAGATGCTATGTGATTCAATAATATATCTTGGAATTATGAAAAAATTATGGGGAAAATTCTACATTTAAAACTTATTCTAAAGTGTGTCATTATACACCCCACCCTTCCCAGGTAAAGCAGTATTCATAGCTAACCACTTCATTGTGGGATATCAACTTCCTTTGTCCTTTGATACATCAACATTTCTATAAAGTGTATATCTCAAGTTTCCCCCAAAAAACATAAATAGGTTATTAAATGTATATAGATAATATAAGGGTTGTTTAATCAGTTGAATTTTAGAAAGCAATTACTCAAAAAATAGTACTCAAGTATGTAACTTGATAATCAAACAATACACAACAACAAATACAGGTTATATTCAAAATATGTTTTCATTAGGGGTGAGCAACCCAAATTACCTAATGCGTTAAAATATTTTACAACAAAGGCCAGAATAAAACCTTGCCACTAGAAATTGCACACGTTTACAATTGGTTGTGAAAGACAATTTGGTTGACAAACCCATTTATGGATGCGTGGTTGGTATGTTCCTGGGTTTCACATGTAAGATTCAAATGTATGGTCTTCAGAAGACATAACCTATTGCACATCCCACCCTAACTCATTCACCCCTGAAATTTTATAATGAACTATTCCAGCCTTTGAATTGGAAGAGTTCAAATGTGTCTTCAGGGGTGAATGAGTTAAAAGCAAAAGAAAATATCTCATCAAGATTACATTTCACCATTGTCACCTAGATCTAGCCCCCTTCAAAATATGTCCAGGCCTTAGACTTTGCTGGTGCCATTTATTGTACTATTGATGGCAAAAACAATGCAAACAGCTTTATTTATAAATAAATGTTCACCTGTACGTAGCTTCTCATTGATAGATAACTGACATCTAGGTCTAATACAGACCAACATGGGTCTACCTATAGCAAAACTAATTGAACAGCTATATACATGTATATGAAGTTATTGAATTTTGCAACCTACGTAATTATAACTGGTTAACTGGATAACAGTTGACAATCTTACAGGAACAATTAAGTGAAGAAACTTTCTTTTTATAATCATGTCACAAATTTTTTCATAATAATATAGTTTGATACTCCTTATGAACAATTCATGTCGAGAAATTGACAAGAGACACTGTTTCCTTGGAGTTTTTAATCAGAAATGAATCCTTAACTGTACAACCATACCTCTGGCGGCAACTGTGAGTGAATTTCTAGCTAACAAAAATATCTTTCCAGTCGAGGAGAAAAGGTAAATTCTTGCTTTATTCACCTAGCTTCTTTGGAATACAAGTACAGGTATTTCTTCTGAAGCAAAAGCATCTTCCAAACACCATCTCAAACATCATTATAAATGAGTAACCTTTTTTACGTTTTAACCTATGATGGCGTACTGTCTCCAGTTTGAAATTCGGCCTGCAGTTCCCTCTCAGTGCTAGCATACTCTCATTAAACTTTTTTGTTTTTATTCAAATTAAATTTATACCCTGAGACTGTTCAATGTGTCACTTGACCTGTTTTGCAGACACAGGCCCATAATACCTTGCAATGGTTGCCAAGGATAACAGTTGTACGCCCAGGCTCCTAATATCTTATAACGACTGCATGGACAGGGGCTTAATATAACCGTTGTACGCCCAGGCTCCTAATATCTTATGACGACTGAATGGCCAGGGGCTTAATATAACATATAACGACTGCATGGCCAGGGGCTTAAAATAACAGTTGTACGCCCAGGCTCCTAATCTCTTATAACGACTGCATGGCCAGGGGCTTAATATAACAGTTGTACACCCAGGCTCCTAATATCTTATAACGACGGAATGGCCAGGGGCTTAATATAACAGTTGTACATCCAGGCTCCTAATATCTTATAACGACTGAATGTCCAGGGGCTTAATATAACAGTTGTACGGCCAGGCTCCTAATATCTTATAACGACTGCATGGCCAGGGGCTTAATATAACGTGTGTCCAGGCTCATTAACATCTTATTTATAACAGCTGTATACCAAGGCCTATAATATCTCGAACAGCTGCATGTCCGTGGTGAATGGGAATGAAGATAAATAATCCTAGATGCATGGAAACTATTTGTTCCATTTATAGTTTCTACTCAACATTTTTTTGCAAAATTAATTCTGAACGCTGAGGTCATTCTTTCTCACTTGCAGCTTTCAAATTTTGAAATTAACTGCAGCTAATAACACTTAAAATTTTTAGGAAAAGTGTGCATTGGAAAAGGTTTTAATTATAAACAAATATTTATATAGTATTTTATAATTAAAATGTGAGATTGTGAGTTTGAATAAATTGTTGGTTCCAAAATAAATATATATATTCTTATGGCATATAATATACATGTACTGGCAATTCTTTCTATAGATACACATCAACACATTTATTTTTATTTTTTTAATTGTAAAAAGATTAAAAACAAAAGTAAATGTATAATATAGTAACCTAATAACTGAATTGAAAGCAGGAAACAGATCTGGTTTAACTGTATTCCACTTATAATTAATTGGTAAAATGCAAGTCAAATGTGTTAAATTTGTCAATGATAGAACACTGTTTTCAAATCATGTATATCATGTATCGTTTCAGAGGATACAATATAAGTTTTGAGTGCTGGCACACATGCAGATTTTGAACAAAGTTTACTATAGGGCAGGCTCCCCTGTATTTAGATAGTAAATATTGAAAAGTTTTCACTAGCCCTGTTTGTTTGTTTGAAAGATTTTACGTCAGCTTCACTACAGCATGAAACTAATGAAATAGTACACCCAGGCAGTTATTTTTGCCAGAATATATAGGATCTTACATGAGATTCCATTTCATATGAGATTTATGAAACGAGTCTTAGAATTTTTCAATTTAGCAAGCCTCTGGCGAGCTAAAATGAAAAATTTGTGACAAGTTTAATTAATTCAACTTCAATAACTTCATCTGTATTACTTGTAATTCCTATATTGGCTAAGCATGTTACCACTCTCATGACTTTTGGTTGAAATCTGCTTAGTATTTTGGGAGGAAATGCCGTTTTAAGCATATCAGCTGATTTGACCTCTTATCACTTTTTCATTCAGCCCCATCTGCCCCAGAGGGTCAGTCCAATTATTTACCTGTACATACCGTCACTTAAGATTCACATGTGCTTAGCTTGCTACCAATGCAATTAAATCTGTTTCGAGAGGAGATGTCATTTAACGCAAATCAGTCAATTGGACCCTTCCTTCAGCAATCAGGAAGGTCAGCCCTTTTAATTCTGCTCAGTAGTTTGGAGTAGATGTTGTTTAAAACCAATGGATGACACATGACAGACAACAGACGAAGTACCTCCACATAAGCTCATCCAGGTACTTAGTATCAGGTAAGCTAACAAAGTGTAATCGTAATGAAAATTACACAGTATTGAAAAGACTGATTGAATACAGTGTGGCATTTCTCATCCCCCAATAAGTGTTTTTCCCCTAAATTTTACAACAGCCTTCCTTTATGAATTGGGAAAATATAGCATTATTTTTTATTGAATTTGAGAATACATTCCTCATTTTTTGGTCTTTTTTTTTTAGTAATAAAAGTTACTGCCAATATTTCCAATTGTTTGCAACAAAAAATATGCAACGTTCTATTCAGACTAAAAAAAACAAAAACAAGGTTACCGCGAGCGGTATATAATATGCCCGCCACACATTGAATGAGCAGTTGTTTGTATGATTGAAATATATGAAGTATTTGTGAGTAATTGATATTAAAAGAGAAATAATTCAACATAACTGGTAGATCAATGAGTGCAATACAACATCATGTAACGCATGCATCGCATTTATGAAATCAAGGGGAATAACTCCAATAATTACGGTCGGATAATAATGGTTATCGAACTTTATCAAGCTTCTACGGTAATTAACCTTGTTGTGAAGTTTGAAGTTAATCCGTTAATAATTACTCGAGATATCGAGCGGACACTGTTTCGGCAAGTC